ATGAAACTCACCTCTTGTGAAAAAGGATTATTGGATTTCATCCTTTCTACGAACGCCTGCTGTAAGAAGGCCCGTATCTCGGGGGTTTTCTCACGGGCTTTTAAAACGTCGCGCCGTTGAATATATTTGTCATCTTCTTGCCTCCGCGGATCTGTTTTATATAGGCTGTCGCGTTGAAAAGTGGCGATTATTTCTGCACTGAACCCGCTGAAGTCAGCCGGTGGTTGTTCGACACTCTTCTCATTGCCCTGCATTCGCGAAAGAACGATCTGGATTGATCAAAAAAGTAGAAACAACCGAAGCAAACACTTAGACTATCCGTTTGTGTAAAAATACAGAAAACAAGAGAGAAGAGATAGACATTAGTGTTGCAATAAGTTATATGCGATGATATGTGCTTGAGCTCGCAAAGTTTGTATATAAAACAAACAAATATATCACAACACAATAACTTTTAACCGTTACATATTTCACCCTCAAAACCCACATCACACTAAAACACAAAAACAATTCCCCTCTGACACTCTTGTACCCATGAGCCACGCTCGTGGGAAAGCCCACGTAGCAGACAGGTTCCCCCCATACTTCAAAACAAATGCGGCACACCCCTCCGCTTGGCGTCGTTGATGTTTCTTTTTGTTTTGAAATTTTACTGTGGACTAAGATTAGTCATTTTAGACAGTTCACTCAATGTTAATTATAATGAAAAATTGTTTTGCATTACACAATCATGGCTTGCGAAAAAACTCAAAACGTTATCGCAAGATAAGGGAAAAATTTGAAATAAAAAACGCAAAGCCAAAGTAATAACAAACAAGAAAAATGAAAATCAAAAAAGGCATTGGAAGAAAACTGCTGCTGTTTCAGCTCATTTGTATGAGGTGAAGGACAGTCTCATGATCGGAGGCCGGAAGACAACGTGGTAAAGACTGCGTCCACGGCTTCGGGGTGCTCCAGCAGCGCATGCCGGTTCACCTGATGGAAAAATAAAAATAAAACAAAATAAATAAAATCTACAGGGATGCGGTGGGACGGCGCGAAAAGAACGATCCCAATTGAATCAAAAACGAGGAACAACCGAAGCAAATACTTAGATTATCAGTTTGTATGGAAATACAAAAAAAAACATGAGAGCAAGAGGTGCGCATTAGCGTTGCAGCAAACTAAATACGATCATGTCCGCTTGCCCTTTCAGAGTTTATATATAAAACAAATAAATTACAATAAATGTTTCCCCCTGCAAATTTTCACCCTCAAAATCCACATCACCCTTAACAGAAAACAATTCCCCTCTGACACTCTTGTTCCCCAGAGCCACGCGCGCGGGAAAGCCCGCAGCCCATCACGCGTGTCGTTGGGAAGTTCGTTTGCCGTTGGGGGCTGCGAGGTGCATGTCCGTTTCTTTTCTTTTTTTTCCTTTTTAAACCCTCGGACATTGCAGCATTTACCCTCCGGCACCTCACATTATCAGGGATATCTCGTGGGATTTTCCATTTGCGCACATCACCATACTGGATCTAGATTGCGCGAACGAGATGCTGCGAGCGTGGCTTGCTGTAATTGGGCACCCGTTTGGGTGAGGAACAATGCCCCTGTTATCATCCATCTCGCAAAATTCCCGCAGCAATTGGAGCAAGATTCATTTCTAAACAGCTATCCCCCACCGCAAACGAAGGGTGTAACCCAAGGGGATGGGTTTAGAGGGCAGCGCAGTCGTTTGGGCGAAGCCCCAAGTGTGTAACGGACGCGTCTGCTCAAATAAATTCTCCCTCTTTTTTGTTCCATTTCATCGGAAACAAATGGGCGCTGGAGACCCCCACTTTAAAATTTAAACTTGGGCACGGCGCCTCCATCAATCAGGGAAAAAAACGGGGATGAGGCGTTACAGAATATTGATAGAGAATTGTTTAGGCTGTTTGAATGGAGTCATTTTCTTTTTTTTTTTTGCGTGTGCGTGGACCGTTGTGTGAAATACATTTCCAATAATGCAGGAATACTTCTCACTCTGTGCAAAGTTATAACTTGAATAAGGCAGTGCCTGACAGAGTGTGTGGGTACGTATACGTGGTCAAAAGTATACCGTCAGAGTCAAGAAAATTCTAATGATTTACTCGCACATTAAAATCCATATTAATGACGATGAGTGTGGATCGCTAGAAAGGGTATCCTATCCAATATTCTCCAACCATCCTCCTTTTGTGCGAATAACCAATAAGAATAAGAATAAAACGAGCTCTGCTTCAGCAGAAACCATAAGAAGAAATAACCATAAAATTAATATTGGTCACAAACTATTTTCGTAATATTACGGTATTATTTTTTCATTTTCCCTCCTAACCCTGTACCAAATCTCTTCCTTGTTGTTTGTGTTGTTTTTCTGCAATATTAATGTTTGGAATTCGCATGCAGAAGCACACTGAGAATTCTTTGCAATATGAGGTTTGTCCGCTCACTTTATTTCACTTCCCTCTTCGCCCCAGCACCATAGCGCAGACTCCTATTATGTCTCCTGCGCAACGCTGGTAAATTAACGTGGGCAGTTCACAATTTCATCGTTTCTAGGAAAAACATCTACAGTTGGGAGTAAATAACCACACATAATTCTGGAGAATGCTGCAGCGTCGTAGAAAGAGAATGGCAATACCTTTTCTGTGACAACTTGTAGGTGAGAGAAAAAAGAATAGAGAAACAAAAAAAAAAAAAGAATAAAGGCAACAACTCACAAAACGCTCTTAGAGTGGGAAATGCGGCATCGTTGTTAAGCAAAGGAAGAGGAAAAAAATAACATATTTTATCAATTAAATTCATTTTCCATTTTTTCTTCTACAGTCTACCCATTATAAAAAATTGCTGAAAAGTCTCTACATTGATTCATAAAATAAACATAAAAAAGAAAGTAAAAAAAGAAATATATGTTCAGTATCTCTCCCCTTAAAGCTGTGGGGGAAAAAAGGAATATATTTTTTTATGATGGTATCTACCTCAACGTACCTAGAAAGGTTTTGTACAAATGATTGCGAAAAATAAGAAACAGAGAGGGCGCACTCACCCACACACCTTTTTTTTTCTTTGGCACGTGCACAATGCCCATATTTTCCGTTCGCTCGTACATCAATTAAAAGATAAAAATAAATTAAGTAAATATGCTTTCTTTTCGTCTCTACGGTTATATTTTTATTTATTTTTCATTTATAATTCAAAAAAGAAGCAGGGGAATACGGTGTGAAGAGTAACTGCCAAAAGCATTAGTTTAATAAGGTGTGATCCTGCTGTATGTCACGCTGCATCCCCATTCGATTCATGTACAGTATCCATCTCGTAGAAAGAGACTCTGGCCAAGATTGTTGCGTTTATATTAGAGGAGAAGAGGGCAACTCCAGAATAGTCATTGGGAACGTAAACACGACCCGTCATCGACTCCAGGCCACCATCCTTGAAGACCTGAACGATGGTGTCATCCACAAATACTCGCAGCTGTACCCTTGTGCCATTTCCAACGAGAGGAGCTCGGCCGGTCCAGGTTTCGTTGAATCCAGTCGTGCCGGATTTGCTTCGGTCCAGAAGCAGAATGGGTTCCCACACACGACCTGTTGTGGCAGAGTTATTAGCGGCAACAACGTCACCATAGGTACTCATAAGTGTACAGGTCCACCTCGACGAGGCTCGTATTACACCTTTTACCACCGTCCATGCGACACAGCGACGATCTGATTGGCACTGTAATGCGCAAGTCGCTTGTTTTGAAACCGTGAGCACGGCCAACACCCTTCCTTTTTGATCAAACCCCGCACCCATATTTGCAGTCGGAGGCATCGTCACAGCGAATCGAGTGTATGTGTTGCTATCCTTGTAGCGTACGAGTACACCAAAGGATGGAACAGTGTCTGTGTTCTCCGCTGGTTTGTTGGTGAATCCCTCAGGTATTTCAAAATCCACCTCCATTTCATAGTACAACGGGGCGTTGGCGTTATACACTTTTACCTCGTTCACCCCAACCTCAACATCACCCGTTGTAGTAGAGAGACGCAACTTGGCGAGCTCCGGCATGGGGTAGGTTTTTAACTTTTTGGCAACATAATCGTACTCGACGAGACGAGGCATGTCCATTGCACCAGACCACCCACGAGTCTTCATTGCAGCTTCCGTGTCCTCTTCAGGGATCCAACCCCACAAAATAGTGCGTTTGAGAATGGGATCATAATTCTGCTTGGACGCATACCATCTGCCGTAGTCGATGAATGTCCGGCTGCGACCGAAGTCCTCTTAAAAGATCGTTTGATCGACATAATTCTTCATATAGTAACCATACACCCAGTAGTCCTGACCACTGATCATTGTTGACACCTTCAAGTAGTATTCGTCTCCCAGTTTGAAAAAGTCTGGACATTCAAGCATGTCGTCAAATTCGAATAAATTTTCCCAAATGGCATGTGAGAATCGGAAGTCTGATGTAAAATTGGGATCACTGGTAGCGAAAACAACAACCTGTGCTGCAGTTACACCAGAAGGACCTTTGTTAATACTGGCTACAAAAGCTACCAGCCACTCTGATGTGTTATCAGGGTTCACCCAGAAGTTTGTGGGGTCACGAAAGTGGTTCAGACCAATAAGGCCAGGCACATCATTCTCTGTCAATACAGGATTTGTGGGAAGCTTAACAAACGAGTTGAGTGAACGTTTGCCACCAGATTGGACATCTTCCTTGGGTGGTAAAGCAATGCATTGTCGCTGCACGTCACCATCTGCAGCACACGTATACATCAGCACGGGTGTCCCATCAGCGCGTTGCGTGATGGATCCACTGTACGCACCTCTGCGATCGTATTCATTATCATTCTTTAGTGCAATGCCTTGATCCTGCCACTTCACATAGTCCATCGAGGTGAAGTGGTACCAACTCATATTGCCCCACACCGCGCCGTACGGGTTGCACCGCATGTACAGGTGCATCTGTTTTGTGATGGGGTCACGGTAAAGCCCGCTGGGGTCGCTGACCCAATTGGTGGGCGGACGCACGTGGAAGCGCGGCTCATGCGACGCGGTAACCGCAATCGCTAGCAGCAGCAGCAGCAGCAGCAGCACACACCATGTAGATGACATAATGCGCATTGTTCTTTTAAAGGAAAATATTGTCTGATTTACCGTTCTCTCAGCTAGTCTACCACAAAATGAAGAAAAAAAAGATCCAATCAAGAAGGGTGGAAAAGAGAAAGAAAATAACAACAACAAACACACACAAATAGAGATGACTGCCAAATGTTCAGAGGGATGTATAGCATGTGAATTCATGCTTCAGATAGTTGTTACTCTACCATGTCTTCACCGATTTTTTTTCTTTTCAAGAGATATCTTTCACTTTTTCCTTCACTGAGGCCAATAAACTAACCCCACGCGTTACTGAACATCCCCCAACAGCCAAACACCAACAACAACTAAACAAATACACATGTGAAATCGCAATGCAAAGAGAAGGACAGAAAAAGAAAAGAAAAGAAAATATATGTTATAACTGCTGTAGCGAAACAATCACTCAAACTAACCTCCGTGTGTAAAGGAAGCACATTATAAAGCCAAATAAATCTCTGATA